ACCTATTGCATGACCGAAAGGGTGCTTACTAGTACACTAGTAAAATATAAAAATGAAGTATATAAGTGAACAAAGTGATTTTAAACTTTTAAGCTTAAACTCACTAACATGGTAATAATTGAACTCATACACTGCGTGAAAAACACAGCATATGGCAGAGCAAACAAACTACACTAAAGTGCCACTGGTGAATGGTGATGAGTAAGATAGATGCTAAAAGGTTGGATAATTAAACATCCTTATTTAATCCTCATACATTAATTAGTTACTTTACAGATCACAAATGGAGCCCATCACTAGCTTCTTTTAAGCCAACATTTATGTTTTCTTACAATGGCAATCAAATATGTCATTATTTTATTACAGTCATGATGGCAGGGACCTAGGGCACATCTTGTTCTGCAGCTCTCTAATAATACTTACCGACAGTGACAACATATAACATGATTAAATTGTTTGGATGAGAAATCACGTGGGTCGGAATTTAAAGAACAAATACAGTTAAAGGAAAAATAACTTTGATCATATATAAAAATTTTACAACTTATGTGAACATATAATGCATATAAGGTTCCACACAAAAAAAAATAAAAAAAAATAGGTCCAGTACACTGAGAATTATTCTGGATAAGTTTCATTAAAAATATTTTCAAAATAAACAAGTAAATAAACTTTAGTTTATACACAAATTACTTTTTTTTTAAATAATACTAAAGATTTTTTACAAATTAATTTATCATAAACTAATTTTATTTTATAAAAAAATTATTTTAATTTTTCTTTTAATTATTTTCTACTATAAAAGCACTTCTTGATAAATTTATTCCAAACGAATTCTCTCCCAAACTATTCATCTATGATCCACAAGCTCTTTCACGAAAGAGCGTAAAATATGGAATTATCGAAGACACGCATTGCCTAAACGACAAATACTGATAGCACCCTCTCTACGAGCCCAAAACACGCGAATTGCAAGGCCAAGAAAGCAATACTTCCTCAGTTCTTTTTTATGGATTGATTTTTTAAGTATTTTTTTTTTCTATTTATTTATTTTTTAAAATTTAAATATTAATTATATTTTTATGTATTTTTTAATTTTTAAATAATTTACACATGACAACTAATGCATTCATTATGAAATAAAAAAATAAAGAAAAATTATACTAAAAATATTAAAATCATTTTATAAAAAAAATGAACATTTATTATATTTTTATCTGTATACAATATCTTTAAATGAGTATTATAAAAAAAATGAAAGTAGTGTGAAGGAAGAGATAGGAAATGTGCATCATTTATATCATATTATCATCATTAACATAATGTCCATGTGCAAACCGTACAGCATCACATGTCTTCGGGAATTGACATTTCGAATTTCCAAATTTTCCGAGGTAACAAGGTTTCCGGGTGCATATGAGTTTCTTTATATATTTATTTATACTATTATATTTGGTGGGTGTGAGATATGTGTTCTTATTTTTTTATCTTTTCAATATTGAATATACTTATATCTATTTTATATTTGTTTTAACATTAATTAAATATTTTTTTAAATATAAAAATAAAAATTTTAATATAAATAGTAATTATAAAATTATATTAATTAAATTCTATTTAATATAAATTAAAATCAAGACAGTTTGAATCCTAGTTTATGTGCCACACGATCACATTAAAAAAAAAATAGAAAGAAAAACTTGGTATTTTCTGTGCCACCTTTGAATTCTCACTCATTTCTTTACCATGTATTCAGGTCTTCTGTAAAATTTTCCTTCTAGTTCACTTCAATTTCAGCGTCATCCATGTAATAATCATCATGCCACTGACTAGATTCGTGATTTTGGTAGGTATATGTGTATCAAAGAAGTTGTGATATTTCTTTCACTCAGCGAACCATAACATTAGGCAAAGTTCTAGAAGCACATTATGCATATTCCGAATATGTTTAAATACAAATTAGGTGTGTCTTTAGAGTTTCTTTATTAAAAATAGAAAATATTTATTTTAGAGATATTTTAAAATTTGTATTTAAACACGCTCATTATATATTCTCACGCTAGCACAACCAAAATAATTTACCTTCGAGACAAATGACCCCTAACCAAAAAAATTGGACATTTTGGAAGTAATTAATTGAATCTAGAGAATTCATGATGGAACCCTTGACCTCTCACGTAGTTTTTGACGAGTGTTAGACTCCTGGTTTCTATTTTATTATTCGGCACAAATTTGATATTGATCTTATAAAAAAATTGTTTTATTTGTTATAACATTATCTAATTTGAGGGGTTCAAATGTTAAACCCAATTATATAGAACGCTAACTAGATTCTTCTATAGGTTACAATATTAATCTCACCGGGTACAGAAGGAAAATAAAGTAAGTGTTATATCTCTTGTATATACTCTAATAAAAATCCGAAGATTTAATTACTAATTTAATTCTTATATTTTAAAATATATTATTCGTCCAAATTTTTATACATACATTTTTTTTAACTTACTTTAGTTCTATGTGTACAGTTTTTAATTCATTTTAGTTCTAAATATTTTGGATACCAAAAACTAACACGGATTAAAATTATATGTATAGAAAAAAGTAAAAATAAGTAGTTTTTTGAAGTAGAAATAAACTATATCTAGATCAATCAATTAAATAATTAAATCAAATGATTAGAATTTGGCATCAATCCATAGTTAATGCCAAAATCTTAATTTTAGTTAAAAAAAAAATCATCACAAAAAAATTACTGAGATAGTGTACCTTAGATTTGCCTAAATATAAAATAGACCCAACAGATCAAAATAAACTATGACCTTGATGGACGAACCATGGGAAAACGAGTATCCTATGCAGATTAATTCAGAGGATCACATGCTCTGTATAAGACATTTAGTACTTAAATATTTTACAAGAAAGGTAAACTAAAAATGCATGGTAATTGGATACATGCAACACAAAAGCAGCAGAGTCATAAAAATAATGTTAAAGGTTTGAAGGAGGAAAACACACCTGTATAGAGTTTAAAAGATGTTGGGATACTCCTTTGCTTGGTGGCCATCCAAATATGTGATTTCTTGAGGCTATACAGCCCTGGATCTATAATTATTGGCTTCCCTCTCTTGTACCTGAAAATGGGTATAAAAGGTTAAAATTTTGGGTTAAGACAGAAAATCTTGTACCTAAACAAATATATATACAACTTGGTGCTTACAGTTTCCAACCCAATTGACTGCTATGGTGGATGAAATTGATATGCCTTGGAACATGAGAAAAAGCTTGGATCATATCTGCAAATTGGAAATTTTCATTCATTTAACTTTGAGTCAATCATCATGATATGAAATCACCATTGGCAACATTGTTTCACAAACTCAATCATAATTTTGAATTTCACTCCACATCAAAAAATTTGATGCCATAAAATCATTACAACAATAAAGAAAAATGCTAGCCATATGCCCTTCACATACTCTTATGAATACACTTCACCTGATAAGTTAAAATTTAATCAAAATCATAAATTTGATATGTCTCGTGTCATATTTTAATGACCTTTTATTTATTCTGATCCTGTAATTTTCAATAAATTTAAATCAATAAATGAATGTGTTAAGAGAGATGTGTTATTTTTTTTTTCTTCAAATCTATAAAAACTATAACGACAATAACAATTTGAAACTGAGACATTGTGTGCTACTAGTAATAATAATTAGAATAATTGAAATGTTTTATGGAAAGTAAGAACAAATCGAATGATCCAAATCCAATTGGCATAAACATTAAAGGCCACTCACCATACCATCTTGTGTAACCAAGGGATAATCAGAGGCACTAAGATTAATGAACCAATCCCATTGACAAGTCCTAAGAAGCATGGCCATAGCATGTAGAGTGGTAGAAATCATGGTTGGTCCTCTATAAGTGACCAAATTACGTTTCCCCACAACCCAAACATTCCCCAATTGACCAAAAACAGGGTCCTTGGCCACATATTCAACCACATCCCTATGCTCAGCCTCTGGTGCCCCATAATCCAAATGAATCAAATAGTAGTTCCCAGGATGGTACAAAGCCTTCATCAACCTTTTGAGCTTCCCAGAATCTCCTTTGGAAGCAGATATCAAGTAGGCAAATGTAACTGGGTATGAATTGGTGGCATTGGTGGTGTTGAAGAAGCTCATAGAAGGCTTGAAAGTGGAGTTGGGTATGGTTATGGTTAATCTTGTGGGAATGAAAATAAGAAAGAACAATAGTGAGGTTAGAATGAAAGAAACAAGGAAAATTTTGATGGACATTTTATGAAGGGGTAGTTAAATGGTTAACACCTGGGGCTTGTGTGGAGAGTGTATATATATATGGGAGTGGAAACCGGGAAGTGTGTGGTTAACATAGTTTTGGATTCTTTTCTTTGAAAACAAGGTTGAAACTTGTCACAATTAGGGGTGGGTATATGGATAAGTCCGCGGACTTCACGGATAACGGACCCATTTTTTTTAATCCGTATAATCATACGGACTTTTTAGGTCCGGCCCGTTTAGTCCGCGGATTTTGCGGATTTAATCCGCGAGCCCGCGGATTACCCGTTTAAATGTGGACTCAAATTTTATTATTGAAGATGCTTGATTATATTTGATAGATGTAATTGGACTTACAAATATTTTATGTTTGTTTTTAAGATATTAATTAAGACTTTGATGTTTTAAGGTATTTAGACTTTGATGTACTTGGACTTACAAATGTTTTATATTTGTTTGGTTGTGTATTAAGACTTTTAAAGTTTTAAGGTAGTAAGGCTTTAATATTTGGTTAATAGTTGGTATGCTTGGACTTTAAATTTTAAAGGCATTGAGACTTAAATATTTCTATTAGAAATTTAGAATGTGTAAACTTTGTTATTTAATATTTTTATTTATTATTTACAATATTTGATGTTATTATTAGAAGTATATTTATATCATTTTATTTTTTTTTTTCCTCATGTTTTCATAAGTTAAATAAAGGAAAAGAAATTTAAAATCTGAGTCAATATTCATTTAAACAATTTAGATTTTGGGCCCGCGGACTTATCCGTTTATCCGCGGGTTTCACGGGCCGGATACGGACATTTAAGTCCATTTATTTCGCGGACCGGATTTATCCGGCCCGTTAAAAATGCGGACTTCGTGAACCGGGCCTTAAACGGGCCGGACCGGTCCGCATACCCACCCCTAGTCACAATGACAGAAGTATGTACATTGCATCTTGGGTATGTCTGTTTCAATTTGGTTTAGAAATCTTTTTAATGAAACAACCGCTTATTGGAAATTTTTACATGTAAACTTTTTTTAAAACAGCAGAAGCAGGAAAACAAAAAGCAAAAAAAAAAAAAACCTGCATTTTTTTTAATAAACATCTAGTTATTGTTTTTCTTTTTTTTTTTTTATAAAAAAAATCAACTATGGCATAAGAGAGAGAAGAATGTAAAAAAAATAAGGAAAGTAATTTTAGTTAAAAAGTGTTTTTTTTAATGATTGTAAACAAACACTTATCAATTTTAGCTTAATTAAAAATCGCTAAAAAATAAATTAATGTTTTTAATCAATTATTTTTAATTTAAACGAACAAATCCTATGCGACAAGCAATTATATCACTTCTATTGGCCAGTTTATTTAAAATTAAAATGTTATTCCTAAATGATATACTTTTTAAAAAAGTAATTATTTAAGAAATACACAAGATTTACTTAAAAAAAATTAAAATACTTTTTTAATATCTACAATTTTACTTATTTTATCTTTAAGTTCCTATATATAGCTTATGATAAACTTTTTTAGTTCATATATTTACATTTTTTTAATTATTTTTAATCTTTGTCATTAATTTTTTGTAACGTTCAATGTGAATGACATGGACTTATAAGGGTAATTTATTTAGTTTTATGAATGGTGATGTGTCACTTAGTGGGTTGAGAGGAAAAAAAATGAAAAGTCTAGATAATTTTTTAAATAATCAATATTTACTATAACAAAATGTTATATAAATGAACATTTAAATTGTATTGATAATTGCATAGCAAATCATTAAGTAAAACATGGATTAAGTGGCACATAGCCGTCTAAAAAAGCAAAAATATTACCTTCACATGAATTTAATAAATTCACACCACTAATACGAAAATAACGTTGCGAAAAAATTAACGCTAAAAACTTAAAGATAGAGCAAAGAAAAGTACATGATAAAAAAATATTTTTAAAAAAATAAAAAAACAATTTTTTTATATTAAAATAAACAGTATAAACTTAGACAAATATATAAATAACAAAATTATTTATTATATTAAAAAAGAAAAAAATTAAACAAACAAGCATGATATTTATACGTAAAAAACGTTTATATTCACAAACTCTTGCATATTTACCACACAAATCATTAAGCAATATGCAATCAGACCTATCATATTTTTTATGTTCTAAATTATGAGTTTAATTTTCACACACTTTTGTATAAAAAAATATATATTATTAGCTAGTTAGAATTTACTTCAAATATATTTATTATAAAAATTAATAATTCTATCATACATACTATCAATGATTAAGTAATGGTGTAAATTTTTTTTTAACATATATATTCTAATTAAACTCCAAAATAATATTGCTCTTCCAAGTATTTTTTATCTTAAAGTTATGCCTAAACCCTAAATCCTAAACGTTTATATTCACAAACTCTTGCATATTTACCACACAAATCATCCCTATCATTTTTTTATGTTCTAAATTATGAGTTTAATTTTCACACACTTTTGTATAAAAATATATATATATATATATTATTAGCTAGTTAGAATTTACTTCAAATATATTTATTATAAAAATCAATAATTCTATCATACATACTATCAATCATTAAGTAACCGTGTAAATTTTTTTTTACATATATTTTCTAATTAAACTCCAAAATGATATTGCTCTTCCTAGTGTCTTTCTCCTAGAGTTATGCCTTACCAAAAGGAGGTTGAGACTCATATTCTGATGGAATTATGATGTCTGTAACTTGAAAAAGAAATATCCAGATTTTTAGCTCTTTGTGGTATAGTTACTAAAATGACCCTTGATTTTGATCCATTGCCCTTGTGTTGGTCGTCATTATCACTCACAGTTAGAGCTGGTGTACCATGGCAAGTAGTGTGATCTTCTTTAATGAGGTTATGTCACACCAACTAGCTAGCTTCCACAAAATCCCACTCCGGAAAAGCTATGTAAGAACTACAAAAAACTTTTATAAAACGATCGATACTCTTCTTTAATAGAAAATACTTACCTAAAGAAATGTTTGATACCTAAGTTACTTTAAGTGTTTCTTAAAATAAAATTACAGTTTTTATTTTTTTCATTAGTTTATGCCAATCATAAATGCTAGCCTTTATTATATGAGTTATGGAAGTGAAATTTTCATTTTTTGAATAATAACACCACTAAAATTAGACTCGTGTTTTCTAATTGCATACATTGCTTTGTTAGCCAAATATGATATTTTGTTTGAATTGATTTTATATATAGAAGCAAAAATATCCAGTAAATTTTTTAGGTTAAACTAACGAAGATGTTTGTTCCTTTCACAGAAGACCATACTCGAAATAATTAATCACTACTAGAAAAGTATTATTTTCTTGCAAATTTTTCTGTAAAAAATTATTTACAGAAATTATTTGCAAATTTTCTTGCAAAAAAATATTTGTAAATTTTTTTTGCGAATTTTCCTGCAAAAAAATATTTGCAATTTTTTTACGAATAATCATAGAAATTTTTTTTTTCATGGTAAAAATTTGCAAAATTTGCAACACTTACCTTACAAGTTGATTTGTATGGTTGAGTGTTAGGCTTATAATCTACAACCTTAGAATTTAAAAAGATTATGTATCACATGTTGGAGGCATGGAAACAAATGCTTCGGATGAATTCAATGTGAACATTTGAAAGTTGAAGAATTATTGATAGAATTTATAGTAATTTCTTTAATTTTTTTCGTAAAAAATATTCCTGCAGAATTTCTTGCGAAAAAATTCGCAGGAAAGTTTCCTGTGAATTTTATTTTTCAGGAAACTTTCCTGCAATTTTTTTTTTTGCGAATTTTTTTCGCAAGAAATTTCGCAGGAAA